GGGGCCGGTGGTGGCACCCAGCTGCAGCTAGGGCCATCAGCAGTGCCAGGATGGGGCTGGGGCCAGCAGCAGTGCTGGGCTCTTCCCAGGCTGGGGTCAGCAGCGTGCTAATCAAAATCATATCGAAGTTGAAAATGGCACTCGTGCCATAGGCTGCTGACCCCTGCACTAGACACATGCAACCATGACGGACCATGCTATTCAGCAAAATCTTATGCATACAAGGGATAAGCGAGCACACGAACACAGAGAAAATACTGTGGTTTAAAGCGCCTCATTGAACTAGAGCTTATTAGGTAGATTATTACTAGATCTTTTTCCCACACCCTCATTTTTTGTGTATGTGAACAGATGTGGGGAAATATCAATAGAAGCTTGTGCCATGACAACTGAAATCTCTATAGCATGAGGTAGTCATTTTTTAAAATGCTCTTCAGTTAACTGGAAAAACAAATAGAGTGTAAACTAAATTTTAAGAGTAACAAAGTCACAATCATGGGGGTTAATGTAATCCAAGTCTGAAAAGAACCCTCTCCTCAATAGCTGAAAAGAACAACTGCAGAATATGCAAATAAGCTAGTCCTCATAATGAAATATAGTTACATGATCTAAGCAAGCCAAACAATTAGATGTCACAGGTCTTCAATCTGATGATTTTTAACTTTTTCAGAGTTGCCATTCACTTTTTATGTGGTACATAAAGTGGTTGTGTTTTACCATACTATCAGAGACCTAAATAATTTCAGATCAACTAAAAGCTGTGCAGCATGCTGTATATCATAAGCATAAAAAATGTATGGTATAGTAAAGTATAAAGTAACAAATAGTATCACAATAAGTAGAGGTGCACTGATACATCAGTCCAATATCAGGTCAGCACCGATACAAAGAAAATTGATTGCATTGGAAATCGGCCTGATGGGACTGATAAATGTGCGTGCATGTGTGGAGCCACAGCACAGCCTGCAGGCAGCAAGGAGCACAGCCTTGCAGCTTGGAGAGCTGCATGCATCTGGTAAGTCTGTTGTGGTGGAAGGGGAGGAGGGAAGGAAGGGGGGCAGATCAAGGCACCTGCGGTGAGGGAGGAAGTGGGGCAGAGGCAGGGGTGGGGTGGAGCCACAGTTCATCCAGGGGCGGCTCCTGCCACTGTGCACCCCGGAAGGGCATGGGGGCGTGCGCCCCCAGATCAGTGTGTGGGGGAGGGGAGCGCGGAGGCTGTGCTGCAGCTGCGGCCGGGACCATACCGGGCTCTTCCCAGGGCATGGGGAGAGGGGGGTTGGGATGGGGCTGTGCTCAGGGTGGGCGGAGGCACTGGGAGGAGGAGGCTACAGCAAAACTTGGGGGGGCTGCCGCCCCTCCCATAGCCCCCCCCCCCCAGTACCACCACTGCCTGCCCTGAGCACAGCCCAGCCCCCACTGGGAGGATCCCAGCGCAGCCCCCACCCTAGCCCACAGCTGCAACCTGTCCAGCGCAGATCTGGGGCCACATGCCCCTGCCCCCCTGTGTCCTCCCAGGGTGCACAAAGTGGTGGGTGCTGCCCCCCCCCAGCTGGGCAGTGCCTGCCCCAGCCCCTGCCTTGCTGCAGGGGCCCTGATATGCACCCCCCCATGCCCTTTCCCTCCCCCTCCACAACAGACTTACCAGCTGTATGAAGCTGTATCAAAAATCAAACAGGTATCAGCCACTATGTCTCCTTAAAAATTGGCTATTGGTATTGGTCCCCAAAATCTCTATCAGTGCACCCCTAACAATAAGTGTAAGGGGAGACAGTCATAGCAGTTCCATGTTAGAAGACATCCATGAGACAAAATACCTTTGCTACAGCATTTGTTTTCACACCTATTAGAAGTTACGTATACTTACCTCAAGAGAATTATTCTAAATTGGCCAGAAAACACTGGACATTTAATCATGGAGCACAACTCTAAGGACTGATTTTTCTTTTTCTCCAGTGAACAAGAAATTAAAGTAATGGATACTATCATTTTTTCAATAAGGGAAACATCTAAAAGATTACCATGATCCATCCTGAATGTAGGCAGGCAGTTCTCTCTTTAAACCATATTTACCTTTCAATTTTACCACCTCATGGGCAAAACAGAGTCAAATACATACAGTCTATTCAATGAACATCACCAAGTATTTTTATGTATTCCGTAAGTACATATACTTATTTTTCTACTTCACTAAAGAAGGCCATACAGGTATTTTAGGTCATACATAAGATTTTACCTTGTTATTTACACGTCAATTTTTGTTCACGGCCATTTATGATGCATACTAGACCAGGGGTCAGCAACATTTTCTGGTGGTGGGCCATAATGACCCAGTTCAGCTTGAAGGTAAGTCCAGGGTACTGGGCCACTTCCCTCTGCTGCCTAGCTATGGTACGGTATGGGTAAAGTGCCTGGCCATGGCTCAGTGCAGCACGTATTCAAAGCCCCTCACCTCCAAACATTACTCAAGTCCCCACTCTGCAGGCCAGATCCACTGAATCTGGCCTATGGGCCATAAACTGTCAACCCCTGTACTAGGCCATGTTTTAACTGAATGACCGTTTATCTGATGGCTTATATTTTGCGTATGTGCCATATCTGCTAATTAATTGTCATATTGGTGTAGCATAGCATAAGAGTTTTATTGCAAGGAGACTACCAAGGTGGCTACATTATGATTTCAAATTCTCCTAAATTTGACTTGAATGCAAGTAGATGCAGGCGATACCTCTTTGACTCTGCAGACAGAAACAGCAACTCAGCTGTGAACACCAAATTTCTTAGCTAAAAACTAGCAAGATAAAAATGTTACTATTTCATTGCTGATAGTTTCTCTTACAAGCTGATCACAGGCAATACCTACTGGGCAGGGTGACCATATGTCCTGGACTGGGCAGGACAATCCTGTATTTTGGAGGCTCAACATCCCAGCCACTGGAGAAAATTGAAGTAAAAATCCCGGATGGGTGGAAACCCACCCCCACATGCAGCTCCTGAGTCGGAAGCCATGAAGGTTCCTGCCAACCCGAGACTTTTGCTTCAATTTTCTCCAGGGAGTCCAGCCAATGAGCTGCTCCCTGGACCAGACCCCACTGGGCTGCAACTAGCATCACTTGCACACTGGAACCAGGGTCAGGAGAGGGGTACACATGGGAAGCTGCAGGGTCAGGGGGAGGAGCTGCATGTGTATGTGCGTCCGTGCACACACGCACACACACTGGCACCTCCCTGGTGCTCATCCTATCCCAGATTTCCCTCAAATATTATGGTCATCCTACTATTGGGAGATGCCGCACCTCCCAACTAACAAAAAGTATAAAATTAGGGTCTCAATACCTTTCAGCTGAACTAATCATCCTGCTACCTATGAGAAATTACACCTTCTGGATCAGTTTCCCCACATGTCATTATATTGCAAATACAAATGCTGCAATAAAAATGAAAAAAATTAAAAATTAAAGAGTGACAAAGTAAACCGAACATCAAAATTACCATAAGAAATGCTTTTAATGCACTGTTCAATTTTTACATCAAGTCACTCAGTTTTTCAGGTACCTGAAATTGTGGCTGAATTAGTCTTAGCAGTGCAAAAGAACTCAAAGCTTTAAATCTAAAGATTGGAAAAAAATTAAGAGCAGATAGCAGCATTGTTTAAACTAACTGATGGCTCCTTGTTCAATTCTAGAAATCATTTTAGCATCTCAAAATCCAAAGTCCCAGTCTCAGAAAAAGAAGTAA